GCAGGAATCTTGCTGTTTCTCCACCAATCCTCCGGAAAAAGAAGGGATTTTTCCTTGAAACTTGTGCATTTATTTCAAGACAGGGTAGTCCCTTGGCTGATCACGGCAAGGCATTGCACAGCGGCTGAGAAATAGTCCTCCTGTTCGCTCCTGACAAGAAGTAGCAGAATGAGGTAGACTACACCTTGCAGCTTGAGTCACCGTTTCTTCTTCTGCCATTAATAAATCCATCGCAAAGCACATATATGTGCTCACTCTCATAAGTGAGCACATCCTCACTTAGCTGCTGAACAGCTAAACCAGCTGTGCCAATTATATCCTAACTATACTTCTTCAAGTGGGGAAGGTCTCGGCAGCAATAGTATTGTTCTGTTTCTTCAGAAAGATAGTTGCTTTATTTTAGCCCGATTTCCGAAGGACTTGAGGCTTATTACATCATCAGTCTCCATACATGCACATGTATATGCTAATTATAGCTCTACTGACTTTTGATCAAATTTGACTGAGGGGAAACGTTCTCAAAGGTACATTCTTGCAAATGTCACAAAAATAGTTGGTGAGGTGAAGAAGAGAGACCTTAAGCATACCTTAGCTGGGGAAAAAAGCTTAAGTGTAATGCTTATCTTTTTCCAGCACCAAAGGATCCACAGGAGAGAGGCTTTCTTCGTGCCTTATTAGGAGAAAGACCTAATCAGTGGGAGTAACTTCTCAGACCCTGCAACCAGCAAAAAGAAACAAACCCATAGGAAATCGGGCTTCTTCACTTCTCATGCTCACAGTGTTTTTGTTTTACACCTGCATTCCCAGGTTCTCCTGTCTCCCAAATCTCATCTTCTATTTTCTGCTCTGTGTTTAACTAGTGCTCATTTTGGTTTAGGGCATGAGGCTGTAACCAGGCAGTAAGCAACAGCAAGACACATTGCCTAGCTACACACAGAATAATTTGGAAAGAAATTAAATTTGAGTTAGCTCTGAGGACGTACATCCAGGCTGTCCTTGGAAGCAGCCCCAAGGGACTCAGAGTGGCTTCCAAAACCTGCCCTGGTACCATCTCAGTGCCTCGGCTCAGTGAGGGACTGGACTCACCCCACAGAGTTCATCTGTGTTAAAAGCAAACTGTGTTATTGCCTGAAAGCTCTGAAATTTAGTAATTCTGGTTTGTTGATTTCAGTATTCTACCTGCAAACCCTCTGTGTGTGGAGGTGGGCCCTGATTTATACGTTAGCAGGAGACAGGGACATGGCTGCAGGAGGTACAGAACCCCAAAGGGCTACCTGCATTTGCTTAGTCATAACCTGTTTGCTGGCAGACAATGCACTGACCTCATTAGGAAGGTAATTTGCATATCCATTAGTATATACTTAGGTGCCTGCCTTCTCAGGTTATCAAAGGGAGTGTTTGCGGGGGAAAGGCATCCTATATTTCATGGTATGTAAAGTTTATTCATAACCTTGCCCTGGTAGCCATGTGGTACAATGCAGAGATGTGATTCATCTCTATGTGAGTCACTGATGGATTCCTCACTCTGCTTTCCTGTACAGGTACAAAGCATGTCATCTCCCCTTAAAGGTTTTTAGTTGCTTTTCTCCAAACCCATTTGAATCTTTGTAATACCACTCTGAAGTGATTTTTTTTTTTCCTCAGGTTATATTAGCTTCTTAGACAGCTATAAACTGGCTTAATTTTCTTGACTCGCACCATGTTTTATGCTAGCTTCAGTGAACACCCCCTATGCCCCCCAGATACTTCAATATAAATAAAATAAAACTAACTGCAAAATCTGAGCTCAGTTCTTTCAGCATTTGCAGTAGCTGCCGCCCTCACATCAGTTTAAAACACCACAAACTTTAGGTAATTAGGGATTTCAGGTTTTTATGTGCAAGATCAAATAAAGCAGAAAAAAACTGACAGAGATTGCTTTCCTACTCGCCCCCAAGTTGTTTGCAAGATTTCCAGGTAGACCACAAACTCATTAGAAGACAAGTAGATGAGGCACAGGCAGAGATCAGCAGAAAGCCACTGTAGCTCTAATTAACAGTCTCATCAAATGCCTAGGAAGAATAGCCTGAGCCTTCAGCATCCAGAAGCCTGTTTGGCTGTCCCTGATGAGGAATCAGAAAACTTGGTTGTAACCAGGCACGGAAGGGTCTCTGTGAGGTATATTTACATTAATGTGCTAACGACTCTGTTTTGTTGTAGCTTACATATGTGCCTGTCCTCAATACAAACAATTAAAAAAACCCCACAAGACCATTAGTTGGTAGCTTGAAACAAAAATTTGAAGGTTTCACATTAATGAGCAATCAAAATTCAGTGTTTATCAGAGGAGAAAAAGACCTAAATGCGTTTGTATTATGTGCAGATGCCCTCTTCTCACAAGATCCATCACCTAAACATTCCCAATAGGAACACAACCAGCTTTTCTTAAATGTACTTGGCTGTCTCAGCAGAAACAGTAAAGTATTTACAAAGGAAACCTTTGAGTTTTTAAATCACGACAGATGCTCTTTGCTGCAGGTCTGAAAAATCAGAATCCCTGATTCTGAGCCATCGTTCTTCTAGTGAAGATTTAATCCACAAGTTCTTTGTTCCATATAAAATGTCATTGAAACTTCTCATCTGTACTGGATTTAATCCCCTTAGCACCATGACTGTTCTAGCAGTGTAAGCGACAGCCTCTAAATAAACCTTTTGATTTTATTAAAGGATTATGGTTTGATTTTGTGTGTTTGGTTTTTTTTAAAGAAGAATAATACATAAGAGTCACTAGTTGTCCAGCTGGTTGGCAACAATTAAAAGATGCATGTACTTAGCACTGTCCTTGCTTAGTCTGCTGAGTCAGAACAGAGGCTATGTCAACCCCAATAACCAGCACCAACCACAATTTCAGGGCTTCATCAGCTGTGGTGAAGGATAGACTTCTTCCTCCCTGCCGTTCAGCATCACATCGTGACATCTACACTACAGCTTTTCATGCCTTGTTTGGAGTTTGGACAGCCTTGAATACAGGATAATTGACTTCCCAGTCTTCTGGTTATAGGGGCAGCAAGTTGTTAGACATCAAAGGTGTTGGGAAACATCTGACTCCCTCCAAACACAACTCATTTCTCAGCAAGACTGGCCACCTCAGCTCCTGTTCTCTACACGACAGATAACCTGAAGAAGCAAGAAATAAAGGCATATCCTGAAGGCAGGGCACTGTTTGTCCTGCCTCAGGCCAATCTGGGGCTCAGTAATACTCAACCCCTTTATGTCCAAGACCTGTTTACTTTCCCTTCTGCACGGATAAGGGAATATCCGTGCTTCCATGGAGTTATGCTGGTGTGTCTGTTGTGAACAGTGAGTACACCATTCTGCAATCCATA